TCAATATTATAAGTATAGACGTTCATAAAAAATCATTACTGCTATGTTTTTTGGAAACTAAAGAAGTAGAAGCTTTATTTCTTGTTGATTTAGCCGCTGTGTCAAATAAATACTAGGATTTTCTTCTAAAAGATTTGAAAAATAAGCAGATCTAGCAGTTTTAAGGCTTTTCTGTACACACTTGTGATCTCTCTTCACGAAATTCAAAAAACTTCTAGTTTTGTTTTCTTCCAGTTGTGCTACATTTATCTGGCTGCTCTCTTGAGGGCAGAGTGAGCTTGTTGTACCACAGCGTTGGACTATTTTCTTTAATCTTCTTTAAGCGCAAAGGAGCAGCTGTGTCTTAAGACTCAAAGGCTGAGGTCCAGAGGTCTGAGGGGGGCTCACTTCTGAACCCTCGAAGTCCACCAGAACTCCCTCAGCGATGAATGGCTCAGCCGGCTCACACACCTGGTCAGGCGCGCATTGCTCGGGCTCCATGGCGATGTGATCCTCGGTCGCTCTTATAGGCGCGGGCTCATTCATCGCCACGGTCTCCGTTGCGCTACCTGCGGTGGGCTCAGGTCGTCAGTCTTCGCCGTCGGGGTGGTTCTGGCTGGGCACTGGATGGGGAGTTGGGCTGGCGGCATCGACGGTGAACGCAGATCCGCAGGACGCCAGCACCCACTCCACATATGACGTGAAGCTTCCTTGAAGAACCTCGCAGGAACGTGCACAGGCAGTCGTCCGGGAAGGTGGTCTGATAGGCGAGATCCAAAAACACTTCCATGTGTTCCTCGAGGGAGCGTTCTCCCTGCTCAAGGCACATGAGTCTTACAGCCTCCCAGTCCATGTAGAATGCAGGGATGAAAACGGAACAAAAACACTGAACACGAAAACAGGAGAAAAAAAAGAAAAATACACAAACACGTTCTTAGTTTGTGTCCGGTACTCTGTCACGATGCTCCGTGAGGCAAGTTCAAAAGAGTTCATGAAGGCAAGCAAATCCAAATAATAGCAGTTTATTCCAGAAGCCAAAGGGAGCACGCGCACACATCAGTGTGATAAAAACAATACTGGACAACAGACAGAGCACAAGCAGGAACTAAATACACAGAGATAATTAACAAATGACTAACAGCTGTGATGAAGGTGATTGGTGTCCATGGTGACTGATCAGTGGTGGGAAACACAAACAGGGAAACACATGTGAGGAGTGAAACTGTGACAGGTTATAACTTTTGAAGCCTTTGATCTAGAGACATGAAACAGTACACCTGATTCCACTCATCATGCTGATCACACCCAATACCTTACATTAAGACTCCGCACATTAAAGTAGTGGCTATTTTGAAAAGTACAGTACTCAGTTTTTTCAGTTTTTGACTGAGACGAATTTTTGAACAGAACAGAATTTTTTTATACTAGAAAAAAAAGTTATAATGTCGTAAAGTTAACAAGGTCCACCCAAAATTGGCTAAGAGGCTGTATCTCGGCCACAGTTTGATCAATCGAAATGAAAATTGGTACACTTCATCGGAAGCATGTTCTGAGGTTCCAAGTTAGGAACAGTGTCATCTCAATTTTGAGATATGCAAAATTGATATTTTGGCCAAAAACTTTTCAAAACTTTCTCAGAAAATCATAATTGTGGTATCTATGGGGTATATAATTCCTTGCATCATGCCGAATCAGTGGATATAGATTTTGGTCATGATGGGATGTACCACGTGTCCGCCATTTTGAATTTTTGATCACAGCACCACCTAGTGTTCCAGAGATATCATTGTGTTTTGAAAAAAACGCTATAACTTTTGCTAACATTGCTTGAAATTTGATTTCTTTATGTCAATATATTCCTTGGGTTATGCCAGATTCAGCGATACCTCATATGTTATTTTTCAACAATGTGACTGGCCACCATATTGGAGCGAATGTAAAACAGTTTTTCGCTGCTTCTCCTTCAAAATTTTTCCAAAATTGTCAGAGAAAAACGTTTCTCAATAGAATCACATAGAAGTAATCACATAGAAGTAATGTTCCCGATTTTTTTGCTATAGCCTACTGGAAAAAAAAGTTATGATGTCGCAAATTTAACAAGGTCGACCCAGAGTTGATTCATAGGCTGTAACTTGTGAACAGTTTGTCACAAATTCATAAAATTGGTGTCTATCGATTCCTTGCGTCATGTGGAATCCGAGGATATCTATTTTGCCAGGATTGGATGTACCACGTCATGTTTCAATGTTACAATGTCTTTTGGTTCAAATAAATAGGGAATCTAGCATTACATTTCCTTTAATCTCTTTAACCCCACATAAGCAGCCATTCATTTTCATTGGGGTATTCCATGAGGCACAAGTCATTTATAATGTAGGTTTTGGGCAGCCATTCATTGGGGTATTGCATGAGGCACAAGTCATTTATAATGTAAAAAATGTCTGGAAAATTGTCACAGGCTTCTCTTGTTGCAGCACATTTTCATTATTTATTAAAGGGTTGGTTGACTGCTTTTTTTCTTTGCATGATTGTGTTTATGGGGTGCAAAATAACATGTATTCGTGGTTTTTCCTTTTTTAAAAGTCTTATTTTTCATAAACTTCACCTTTATTGTCAGCCGCGCTCTCCTCTGTCCTCGAACAAGCAGTTGACCTCCTGATTCTATGAAACCGCTCCCTCAGAAACACGTAGTGGGCTCAGATTGGTTAGTTTGGGCTGGTGTGTTGTGATTGGCTAAACTGTCGCGAAACGTGAGCTCCGGTCCAGATGTAAATATGTGTCGAACTGCAGTATCAGTTTGAGGCAGAATCAGACCGAGAAAGCGGCGATGAAGAGAGTCAAACAGAACCTCACCACACACGGCTCTTACTAAACGTTTCTGAATGATAATTTGCAACATTTTTTAACTTTATGCACGTTTGTTTTACACAATAGCATTTGACTGGCTACTAATGTTAAACACGTTGACAAGTTTACGTTCTTCATCAAATCGAAAATAACGTCATAAAGCATATATTAATGAAAAATATGTTTAAAACATTAGTACTTATACAAAATTCAGGTCCACAATGTTTGTACGCGTTTGTCGTAGACACAATAGCATTACTAGTAGCCTATAGTGGCTATAAAGCATGGCATTTGAAAAAAATAAAACACAAGGCTACGTCTGGAATTATACATGAAAATACATTTAAAATGATTAAGTCTTAGCCTACTTACAGGTTGTGGCCCAACAACTGCTGCCTCTGGTTTTAAAGTTGAAACTGCTTCATGTTTTATTAACAGTTTCTTGTTAAATCCGGTATTGAATTCGTGGAGATTCTGGAAGCTGTCTTCCGTAAAATGCGCAGCACAGAGAGCTAGATTACGATCGTCATTTTCAGGAACATAATCAAACATAAATTGTATCCATTGTTGACGAAGTACAGCGTTTGTGGGAAGTTCGAATACAAAAGACCTGACAGCTGGATGAACAACTCACTCGACGAGCTGGAGCTGCTGAAATATGCCCATGTCCTTTTCTGCATATTCCGGAGGGAGGGTTGATGCAAATGTGTGGGTTAGTGACGTACTATATTCTAGATGTAGTCCCAATCGAGTCGTTTTTGTAGGCAATATACTTCCTGATTTTTAAAAGATGATATCTCTGCTTACATTGAACTTTCAGCACTGCAACTTTGCATATAGGCTACTGTTCATGCACCAACAGCAACATTACACACTATTTAAAATGAAAAAAGTGAAATCGCAGTCAACCCCCCCTTTAATGATTCTTTTCACCAGTTCCACTATAGTGAAGGTGTTATTCTCTTGAACACATATGATGGAAAGGGTCTTTATTCGCATATGTGATATTCAAAATTTTAGGTTTAATTCGCAACTTTGGATAGATATGTGTAAAGCTTGTGTAAAGAAAAAAAAACTCCACTGGTGGAGAGGAATTGGAGAAAAATGTTGTAACACTTTACAATAAGGTTCATTTATTAAACATTAGTTAATGTATTAACTAACATGAACTAACCATGACCAATACATTTGTTACTGTTTTTGTTAATCTTTGTTAACATTAGTTAATACAAATCCAGTTGTTCATTGTTTGTTCATGTTAGTTCACAGTGCATTAACTAATGGTAACAAGATTTTAAAAGTATTAGTAAATGTTGAAATTAACATTAACAAAGATTAACAAATGCTGAAGCCCGTCCTTCACTGTCCATGTGACAATAATATACAGCTCTAAGAAAATATGTATTAAGTTAAACCAGAAAGAATGGTGATTAAGGATTTCAGCTTGTGAATTGTGATGATTATGATATAATTTGCTATAATTTGCATAGTTGACGTCATCAAGTTTTCGCAAGTAAGGCGGCACCCAAAATGGAACTAGTGCAGTCTCTATTAACCCCACAGAAGAGGTTCTCAGACCATCCTCAGACTATGTCAGAATTTAGAAATTCTGGAAAATTATGCCAAATTATGCCAAAAAAGCTGTACCTTCTTGAGTGGACTTTGATATCGTATTGTAGTGTGATGGAAGATTGGTTAAATACAAATTAGCTAAGCCATTTAATTGAACAGTTAGCCAGTCTCAAGCTTGTTTATGGAGGATTCAGGGCCGCCACCTTGAAGTGCCTTACAATAATCTAGTCTTGAGGTCAAAAATGCATGAACTAGTTTTTCTGCATCAAAAGCAGATAACACTTTCCATAGTTTGGCATAAGGTGGAAGAAGGAGATTTGTTAAAATGGAAAAAAAAAATATTTTCAAAAAACAATTTGCTTCCCAATGTAATACCTAGATATTTAATTATAGAAGATGAAGTAACATAACATCCTTCTACTATATATGCAGGGTTTTGGTCCAATGAATAATATATGCCTAGTTTTTGTTCATAGTTGTCCTGTAATGCAAATGAATGCAAAGTTGTCATATCACAGGTTTTGAATTAGCACCTTGTGATGTCAAGTTGATCACCCAGAATAAACCTGTTTAAAACCATGTTTTAAATCTGTCTTATTCAGAAGTCTGGTCGAGGGAAGGTTCAAGGGGAGGTGATGCCCACTCTGGACATGACGCTCTTTGACTGGACTGATTACGAGGATATGAAGCCTGCAGACACTTGGCCATCCAACAAAAGAAAAGGTATGAAAGCACATTCTCAAGGTCTAAACAGTTATTTTATTGTCCATCAGATGGACAGCAGTAGTTTTCCAACAGTAGGTTTTGTTTTAATTCTTGGAGTGCTAAGACCAATATATATTCAATGATCAGGATAAATATTTGATTATAAGATTGGATGAAGTTTTCTCAGATATTTAAACCTCTGTGCCTAAATAATTTGCAAACTCACAGCTGTTTCTGAATTAAGGATTTTATAGGAGGCCTGTGTCTGTCTATTTCTATCTATAAAGATAAACGCCGCAGCAAAAACAAGAGCAATGGGAACACAACACTTGATTCCGAAGTCATTGAACCATGTGACCATCATCTGGACTGCCTTCCTGGTCAGTGCACCCCTATAATTGTAATGTAAACCCCATAAAGATTACCATTATCAAAGACAGTGCTTCTCAAACCAGTTCTGAAGACGACCCCACCATCCACTGCACATTTGAATGTCTTTGAAGTTAGACACACCCAATTTAAGTCTCGCAGTCTCTACTGATGAGGTGGTGAGTTAAATAAGATGTTAGATGAGGGAGATATCCAAAATGTCCCATGGTGGTGGTGCTGGTGGGGGTGGGTGGTGGAAGGGGGGTCCTCAAAATTGGTTTGACAAGCACTGATCAAAGGAAAAGCTCACTCAAACATGACAAATGCCATTATTTACTTGTCATCATGGTGTTACAAACCAGTGTTTATCCCCCCCCCCCCCCCAACTGTGGAACACAGAAGGTTCTCTTTTTTTCAGAGGTGTACCTGAAAACCATACTTGAGTCAAAGTACAGATACCTTACAGCGAAAATGACTCCATTACAAGTTACAAGTCACAAATTCCAATATGACTTAAAAGTCAGAGTACTTGATTTTAACAATACTTGGTCAAAGCCTACCAGATACGCTGGTTTCTGCCTCAGATCCCCAGATGCAACCATATCATACTCCTGTGATTCAACAACTCCCTGCTTTATGCTTTTTTGCGTAAAATAGCCTTGTTGACAAGTTTGGGTGTGTAAAAGCAAAATGCACACGAAATAGTACCTTCAATGCCCTGTAGATGGCGATATCACTTCTTTTATAGCAGATATAAACTGCTGTAGAATTTTTTTTATGCAATGTTTCCCTCTTATGTCATACTTGATAATGTCATACATAAATAATTGATCTCTGGCTACAGTACACAGTGTACACACACACACACACACACACATATATATATATACAAACCCAATTACATAAAAGTTGGGACACTGTACAAATTGTGAATAAAAACAGAATGCAATGATGTGGAAGTTTCAAATTTCAATATTATATTTAGAATACAACATAGATGACATATCAAATGTTGAAAGTGAGACATTTTGAATTGCCATGCCAAATATTGTCTCCTTTTGGATTTCATGAGAGCTACAAATTCCAAAAAAGTTGGGACAGGTAGCAATAAGAGGCCAGAAAAGTTAAATGTACATATAAGGAACAGCTGGAGGACCAATTTGCAACTTATTAGGTCAATTGGCAACATGATTGGGTATAAAAAGAGCCTCTCAGAGTGGCAGTGTCTCTCAGAAGTCAAGATGGGCAGAGGATCACCAATTCCCCCAATGCTGAGGCAAAAAATAGTGGAGCAATATCAGAAAGGAGTTTCTCAGAGAAAAATTGCAAAGAGTTTGAAGTTATCATCATCTACAGTGCATAATATCATCCAAAGATTCAGAGAATCTGGAACAATCTCTGTGCATAAGGGTCAAGGCCGGAAAACCATACTGAATGCCCGTGATCTTCGGGCCCTTAGACGGCACTGCATCACACACAGGAATGCTACTGTAATGGAAATCACAACATGGGCTCAAGAATACTTCCAGAAAACATTGTCAGTGAACACAATCCTCCGTGCCATTAACCGTTGCCGGCTAAAGCTCTATAGGTCAAAAAAGAAGCCATATCTAAACAGGAACCAGAAACGCAGGCGTTTTCTGGGCCAAGGCTCATTTAAAGTGGACTCTAGCAAAGTGGAAAACTGTTCTGTGGTCAGACGAATCAAAATTTGAAGTTCTTTTTGGAAAACTGGGACGCCATGTCATCCGGACTAAAGAGGACAAGGACAACCCAAGTTGTTATCAGCGCTCAGTTCAGAAGCCTGCATCTCTGATGGTATGGGGTTGCATGAGTGCGTGTGGCATGGGCAGCTTACACATCTGGAAAGGCACCATCAATGTTGTGAAGTTTCAGCTCAAAATACCCCACAGTTAATTTATTATAACCATTTTAAAATGTCATTTTGGGGCCTGCTTAAAAATAAGCTGTTTCAGGGGGTATTCCACCTTAAATGCAAATGAGCTGCATATCCCCGCCCTGCCATTGGATGAGGGCGTAACTTGATACCTATGGCAGGCAGTCGGTACTGAGAGAGTGAAGAGACGCGCCGTATTGAATGTCATTCAGAGTACGTTTGAATCCGAATATATATTATGAAGAGACTCCGGCAGAATAAACAAATGAGAATGGACCAGTACGTCTCGGTATGGTTATTTGATACTTTTATGTACTTTAGAGTTGTATGAGCGTCCCATTTGAAATGATGGATGTCCAACACACACACACAGACACTAGCGCAATTTTTTGAAACTACATACACATTCTGTGATAAAGTTTGCTACGTACGAGCGAAATTACATTTATGCGAGGGACCTGTGGCGTCATGTTTAGCTACTTGTCATAGGTGCTTCTGTGGCAAATGTGAGAAGATGGCTAACTTACAGAACACCAACATATATGCAGTTTTTAATACAATACCTTTAAAAATATATATATTTATAAATGTGTGGTTACACACTACAAACAAGGTTTTAAATTATATACACAGACATCCTATGACGGCAATAACTTTAGACGCATTTGTTGTTGAATTGGCTGACATTGACTGAAAAGACTATTTGCTCAAAAATCATAAAATACACTTACTGTTACTGGAGGTGACGGTGGATCGCAAACAGTAGACGACAATCCACACTTGAGGATTAACTTTTAAACCACAACAACAGGATTAACCCACGAGTCCACGACAGAACATAAACGTTTCCAACAGAGACATTACCGGCTGTCGACGTTGAAACAATGAAGGATGGTGTGTGTACAGATCACCGAGGGCGGGGTCTAGGCCACAGCCACACTGTCAATCAACCCCCTGTCTCCCGTTCTACGTCACAAAGAGCTGGATCTCAGAACAGCTCGTTCTGAGGCAGTGCATATGATTTATTGAGATTGTAAAAAAACTACTGGATGGATTTTTATCATTCTAGGGTGGTTTTGCTCACACACTGCCAACACACATTTATGTTCAAACACCATGTAAAAGTGAATTTTCCATAATAGGTGCCCTTTAAATAATTAGGAAGTGATGCTGAAACTCTCATGATTGGATTAGTTCACTATTATGAGCTCTATTGAATGTCAGTCACATATATCTCAGACTCCAAAGACCTATAACTTTGTCAAAAACAATTAGCATCTTTAATGAAGAAATTGGCTGCATTTATGTTACGATAAGCGCAAAACCACATCTTCCAGATTACAGTGTTTGTTAGAATATTAGTGCCTCACAGAACCTGTACAGTATGTGTCAAATATAAAATTAAATAACTTGTATCATTTGTGAAAAACATGTTAACTCCTCAATAACTACTTAAGCGTTACATTGTCATCCCGCAGGAACTACTAGTGATGTGGCCCATTATTTTAAAGTGAAAAACATGTTAACTCCTAACTAACTACAAGCGTTACGCTTGTAGTTAGTTAGGAGTTAACATGTTTTTCACTTTAAAACAATGGGCCACATCACTAGTAGTTCCTGCGGGATGACAAGGTAACGCTTGTAGTTAGTTAGGAGTTAACCTGTTTTTCACTTTAAAATAATGGGCCACATCACTAGTAGTTCCTGCGGGATGACAAGGTAACGCTTAAGTAGTTAGTGAGGAGTAAACATGTTTTTCACAAATGATACAAGTAATTTAATTTTATATTTGACACATACTGTACAGGTTCTGTGAGGCACTAATGTTCTAACAAACTGTAATCTGGAAGATGTGGTTTTGCACTTATCGTAACATAAATGCAGCCAATTTCTTCATTAAAGATACAAATTGTTTTTGACAAGTGAACATCAATGTTTATATTCATGTCCTAAAGAGAAGTCCTCCTCAGGCAGCTACTGTAACATAAAGTTATAGGTCTTTGGAGTCTGAGATATATGTGACTGACATTCAATAGAGCTCTTAATAGTGAACTAATCCAATCATGAGAGTGTCAGCATCACTTCCTAATTATTTAAGATTTATTTTTTAAAACTGTCATTATTAGTATTATTTTATGTTTAAGTTTTAAATAAACAGAGAACATGCGTTCATCCTGGCAAGAGTAGTGGTCACAATCTCAACCTAGCTAATGTATTTGGGGGGATATATAAACTTCATAAACTGGTTTCCACAAAGAACCCATTTGAGGCACATGCTTCTGAAATGTTATGACCATGTTAAGAGTAAAACCCCCACAATTGTTCACTTTTTAGACATGTTACTTTTCTGATTAGTAATTAATTGGTTATTATTTCTTAGTTCACAAGTAGTTCTCAATGAGGATATATTTATTTAGTAACAATCAAATACCTACCAAGGAACTACCTTTGTACTAAATTACCTATTACTTAATGCTTAGTTAATATTGCTTCCATATTAGTTAATAGTATTAACTTCGGTGTTAATGCAGTACTACCTATCACTTCCTGCATAGCTACTTGTTAACTACGGACCATTATTTTAAAGTGTTACCGAAAAGACTAATAATGACCCTCTGATAAAAAGTTTGTTTTCCTCAAAAATTCATCTTCTGTGTTCCACAGTATCATTTAAAATTATGAGTGTGAGTAGATTACACAATTTTAATGTTTTGAGAAAATTACTTAAATAACATGATATTCATTAGCAAAAACATACTAGAAAATACTTGCCAGTGTTTACTTTTGTGGTTTATCTCATTGTGCTACGATCAGGTTCTTGTTGTGACCTCAGAGAACATGAGTGCAAACCTCACAATCATGGTCTAAACAACAAGTGTTATGATGACTGCATGTGTGAGGAAGGTGGGTATGACTTTTCTGGTTTTCTTGAGCCTGTTCTCATCCCAAGGCGTCATATACGACGCTTTTGCCAAAGCGTAGACATCCAACGCACATGGCACCCTTTAGCGTCAAATGTGATGCAGATATATATGGGGCAGAAGGCGCCTCCCATACCCGCTGGTTCAAAGTTGGTTCGGAGTTGGTTCAACTTGCGAACACGTTCAGAACCTGTTTGTTTTTCCACTGACTAGAGCGCCCAGGGAACGACGTCGTTACGCCACTGTGTACGTCGCCATTTGTCTTAGCTAGAAACGCTTGCAAGTACATTACTTTGGGATTATCTCTAACTCTTATACCAAGAAGGCTTTAAAAACAATTGAAATATGTAAGTTTTTTTTAATCTTTTCGTTTGATATGTAATCTTTTCTGATAAGTTATGTACCCCTGTCTTGTGTCTTTTTTTCTTTCCATTTATTTGTTCTATATTGTGACTGTTTTCTTCTTTGCTTATAATGTTTTCAATAAAAAAATGGAAAAGCTTGCGCCAACTTCAAGCATAAAAATTACAAATGCAGACTCCATCGTGTTTCTGCAAATGTTTCTCCTGGCTTTGCAATCCTATATTATGGTCAGAAAAGATATTTAGGACACATCTAAACCCGCCCCAGCCCCCGACGTAAGCATGACGTGGTAAAAGAATGGTTCTAGTCCAGCAAATAGTCTCCCGGCCGAGAACTGGTGGCTGTCGAAACACAAAGAACTGGTTCGCGCGCAGGCACCGGCTCCGAACCAGCCCCGAACCGGCTATCAAAATGCTTTGGTGGAAAAGGGGTTCTAGTGGTCTAACCCTAACCCTACCCCATACCTAAACCTACCATAACCGAAGCTTCTCATTTGACGCTAAAGAGTGCCATGTGCGTTGGATGTCTAAGCTTTGGCAAAAGTGTTGTATATGATGCCTTGGGATGAGAATACGTTGTTTTCTTAGAGGCAAAATTAACATTCTAGAGAGATACTAAAAAGTATAAAAAAAGGGATCTCACAAAACCCATCAGGAATATGTCCAAGTCATATTTCACCAATAAATCAAGACATAGAAATAATAAATTGTATTTTATATATTACGTTGTCAAGTCACTTTTATTCATGTAGCACTTTAGACAATACAATACTGAACTGAATTCAGTTTAGTTCAAGAACAGTGAAAAGTTAATCAATTATGGAATTAGTTAAGTTCATCTATAAAACAGCTCTGCAGAAAACGTCTCGGGTTATGAATATAATATTGGTTCCCTGAAAAGGGTAATGAGATACTGTATCCTAGGATTCTAATGTGAAATGCCTCTGACATGACTGGTGTCATAAGCACGTGTCAAAGCACGACAATAACATTGGCCGGTGATAGCCTATTATGTCACTACTAGTATGACAAGAGTTTAAAAGTGCGCCTGCATTACACGTCATCCACGTTTATTCTGAAGGAGACGTGGGCAGACATGCCTGAAGCATGGCAAAGAAACGCAATGTCTCATTACCCTTTACATGGAACCAAGGTTACATTCGTAACCCAATACTTTTCCTTTTGAATGGGAACTCACTGCGTCCTAGGACGCTAATTGGAAACAAATACCTACTCCGCCATGCTGAAAGAATTAGTGCCATATGGCTGACATGACAAGTCATAGTCAATGACTTCAATGGCACTGATCCAGCGTCACAGTTCCCTGTCATAGGGGTCGTTGTGACTCTATTCCCTAGGGCCAGAAACCCTGGCTACATTGGGCAGCTTAGCTCAGGGCCTGGTATTCAAAGAATATCATAAGGGAAATATGACCAAGGATTTAAAAAATATCCTGCCTGTCACCACAGGGGGCACACCCCTGATGAGTAGAGGTGTCACAAGGGGAGACCTAGCAACACTTAGGGGAAAAGAAGGAAGGAGGCAGGTGATGGCCTCTGCATCCCGAGAATGCTGGGTGTGTTTGCTCTGTATTACTTCCCTCAAATCCTGTTTTCTTTTGCATTCTCTGCATTTTACTCCTGTGAGGTGGAGGAGCACAATTGGCGACGCTTACCTCAGACCTCAGACAAAGACAGGCCAGGCCTCTTTAGAAGCTTGGGGCGTGGACCTGGAATGGCGTGGTATAGAGGTCGCGTATATAGGTGTTATATATTGGTCTCTTTGAAATTCCCATCTTATAGATGTGTCGAAGAGCTCAGAGGGCGAAACTGGCTCATCAAGGAGAAAGTTTATCTTTTTCTCCTCGACTTCTGCCAGGTTCATTCAGAGAAGCCTCTCCATGGTGTTGTAATTTCTACTCAAGTCACAGATGACATAGTGATTTTTTAGTCCAGCAGCATCTTCCACTGGTAATGCGGGTAGCGTGCAGTGGGAAGGGCACAGATTTGCGATCCAGTAGTCATTGCCATGCTGGGCTGGAGGATGCTGAACTTCAGTTGTGCCAAGAGGGACCTTAAAGAGTGGACTGGGCAGCTGGGTCAGTTGAATTTTCACAGGGTCCTTTGAACTGCACCACTGAGGTGTGTGGGAAAGGCAATGTCTACTGATGCAAAGGTCCTTTGTTGACTGGCCTGCGCTGCTGGAGGAACCATAAGGGTCAGCTGAGGTCTCTCAATGCTGGGGCCCTTTTGCAGCTAGAGTGCAGCCGAAAGCTATATAAAAGAAACTCAAGACATGGCGTGTCTGTTAGTGTCTCCTTTCCAATTGAGTTGGAGACGCAGAACAAGGGTGTGTCTACCAAGGGGACATATTTATCCCATTCTGATGAGGAGATTGAAATTTGGTGCCTTTCCAATCCTGGATTCTGATTGGCCAATGGTGTCTGAAGTAGCCACGGTGTTGCCCACCCTAGTGTGGAAATCATATTATAAAGTACAGTGTTAAAACAGTGTCTTATATTTAAAATGTTATATTTTTTTTATATATATATTTTAAATTATTAAAGGCATTGAATGGTACAGATAGAGACCAAACACTTTGAGAAATGATTAAGTCATCGTCCATGCATTTGGTTATCTTTAAATAGATCTGTCTCGTGAACTGTTGTGTTAAGTCATAACCATTAACATGAACTGTGCTTTGCATGAAGATAGAGTGGATGTGTTGCCATTTATATCAATT